GAAGCGCCGGGGTAAGGTTTTAAACAGGGGACGGTCAGAGAGGCCTGCCGGACCTGAAGGTGAGAGAGAGCCCTGCTAGGGGTGGGGGCGCGGGTGGCTTAGTCAAGGAGGGGGCGAATAGCAAGTGCAAGGGCCCTGAGGCAGTACCTAGCCTGGCACTTCGGAGGCAGGGCCAGCAGCTTAATGCGTTCACCCAGGGGCCCTGCACTCAGAAGGGCCTGTGCTTGGGTTCATGACCTGCTGTTGTGGTCTGGAAATTCCTAATAGTTTTTGAACAAGAGGTCTCACAATTTTGTTCTACATTGGGCCGAGCAAATTCTGTAGCTGGTGCCAGGCGCATGACGGATGATGCAGGGCCTTGGGGGCTGGGGGGAGACTTGGGCTTTTACTGCAAGGGAGGCTGGGAGATGGGAGCCCTGGACGGGGGAGGGCCGGCCTAACTGGGATTTTGATAGGATCTCTCTTGCTGCCATGTGGAGAACAGGCCCCAAAGAAGCTGGTGAAGTAATGCACAGTTAACCCGGCAAGTGCTAAATGCAGTCTCTTAATTACCACCACCATCACCATCATTATCAACTGTGTGGCTTGCCTCTCTGGATGTGTATGATTTCTTTGGGCCTTGGGTTTTCCCAATCTGTAAAACGGAGAGTTCGGACCCCAGACACCTTTCCTGGGCAGATGAAAGACCAGAGAAGTATAAGATGAATAAGCAAAATGTAAGGTTCCTCCTGTCCCCGCCCCCTCCCCCCCCACCAAAAAACACAAAACCCTTCAAGATAAATGCTACTTTAATGTTTTTTAAAATAAAAAGTCATATCAAAAAAAATTCATGCTGAGCAAAATATCTGGGTGTTAAATAAAAATGGTATCTGATGGGGCCAGAGATGAGTAAGGAAGATGTGGGTCCCCCTCGTCCTGATGCTATAAGAAAAAAAGGAAGACCTTTTTGGAAAGTTCTTCAATATTCCTATCGGGTTCTGGAACATGCAGACCCCACACATCATATCAGAGTCCCCGAAGCAGATGGGCTATAGGATTTTTGGGCAAGGCAAAATGAAAATGCAGTGTCTCTTATTGAAAAATTATTAGGAATTTAGGAATTTCAAGATGTTGACAATACAGCATTAAACTGAGTTCAGGTCCTGTGGGACAGCATGAGCCACACGCCAGACACCCCTTCTCCTGGGAAGCCGCCTGTGTCTAAGCCTGATCTAGTATTCAGGTATTTGGGGATCAAACACTCCCATTTTAGCAGACCCCAGGCTCGGCTGGCAGGGCAGAGCTGGACATGAGAGACCCCCCCACCCCCAGCCCAGTGGGGTCAGGGCTGGGCCTTTCAGCAGGCAGAGAAGCCCAGAATTGTGTCCCAGACCATGAATAAAAATAAACCAACCAAGCTGTTTATGTTTTTAATATGTGCCACGCTGGGCTTTAAGGATTTTAGCCTTAGGTATTATGACCATTTGAAAGATGGGGAAATTAAGGCACCATGAGGTGAAGTGACCTGGCCAAAGTTACACAGCTGGAAGGTGGCAGGGCCAGGATGTAAAGTCAGGTCCTTGGGCCTTTAACCACTATGTGACACAGCCCGTCCAGGTAGGGCATGAAGGCAGCATGGGGGGGGTAGGTCGGAGAGGGCCAGGAGGCTTGAGGAAGCAGGACCCTGCCTTCTGGACTGCGACATTGGCATTTTACATGGAGGGCACTAGGGAGCCATGGGAGGTTTTAGAGCAGAGTTTCTCAGTCAGCCTCTGTACTCCTGACATTCTGGCCTGGATCATTCTCTGTGAGGGCCCATCCTGGGCACTGTGGGGTGTTGAGCCGCATCTCGGGCCCCCACTCGCTCCATGCCAGGAGCACCTCCCTGCCCAGTCTTGATAAGCAGAAGCGGGTGCAGACGTTGCTGAGTATCCCTGGGGGCCAGATCGTCCCCAGCTGAGAAGGCCTGGCTTAGAGCAGCATACAGGGTCTGCCAGGTAGAAGGCTCTGCTGGTTGCCGGAACGGAGGAAGGCAAGGTGGGAGGCCGGGAGACGGGTGCCCACACTACAGTTCAGGAGAGGGTCTGGGCCGCTGCATGGAGGAGCGGTGGGTGAGGGAAAGGCAGGGAAGATGCCACGGCCCGGGATGGAACGGTCTTGACTAGATAATTAATATGGGGGGATTGGGGCTTTCGAGGATCTTACTGTCGGGCAGCACCCCTGCACACCCCTCAGCTCCCACCCATCCCCGACTCTGGGCCTGCATCCTGGTGTTTCCCCTTCCCGGGGTTCTCAGGGCCATATCTGGGAGCAAGGCGGGGCAGGGATCTGTCTCATGGATCCAACCGTCTGAGACCAGCCTCGCAGCCTGCTTACAAATGAGCGCTGGGCCCCACGGCCTCCGGGGCAGAGCCAGGCACTGGCTAGTGCATGATGGATGGGCTGCAGGGCCATTAATCACAGGCGGGGGAGGAAACAGGTGGCCACCGGCGGCTTGGCTGGGGACCTCCCTCTGGTAGGCCCGGTGGAGCTGGGGCCTCAGCTGTCCAGCTCTGGGTTTGAGCCTCTGGCCTGCCATAGCCCGGCTGGGTGACTTGGGGGCAGTGTGAGTTTCCCACCCTGCACCTCGTCCCCCCTACCCAACCCCCAACTGGAGCTGTTCCTCCTTCCCTCCCTCAGTAAGTGTCTACTGCACCTGCTCTGTGCCGAGGAGGATTCTAAGTGGAGGTTTAGGGCGCTGACTAAGGAGGATGAAAATCCCTCCCCTTGCAGAGCTAACAGGCTTTAAAAACTTGACTCAAGTCCTGTCTGTCCTCTGCCCACAGCCCTGCAGGGCTCCCACCTCCCTGGGGTAAAGGCCCAAATCCTCCCCGAGGCCCCCAAGGCCCTGCTTGAACTTCGAAGTCTCTCTCCCTCGCTCACTCTGCTCCAGCCAATCGGGCCTCCTTGCTGTTCCTCCAACACACAGGCCCAGACCTGTCCCAGGGCCTATGCATAGGCTACTTCCTCTGCTCTGATAGGCATCCCCAAATGCCATTTTGGCTAATTCTTTCCTTTCCTTCCAGGCTTGGTTTAAAGGTCACCTTCTCAATGAGACCTCATTGTGACTTCCTTACTTAATTTTGGCAGGGCTGGGACTAGGGTAAGTGCAGTTTTGAGTGAGGCATTTTCTTCAGGCATAAAGTTTGAGGGGGTACCAAAAATCTCTGACAACATGAGACACACTATTTTAGTGCAAACTCTTTTTCTTAATTGTGGTAAAATACATGAAAATTCACCATTAGAGACATTTAATCCATTCACCCTGTTGTGCAATGATCATTTCTACGTAGTTCCAGAACATTCCGTCACCCCAAAAAGAAACCCCATCCCTATCAGGGTCACTCCCTGTCTTCCCCGCCCCCAGCCCTGGGGCCCCGCGAGCCCCCTTCCTGTCCGTGGATGAGCCTGTTCCGGACGTGTCACCCACGTGGACTCACACCCCGCGTGGCCTTCTGTGTCTGGTTCCCTCCCTGAGCGTCGTGGGCTCGGGGTCCGTCGCCGGGGCTGCGTGTGTGGGCGCCTCGCTCCTGTTCCTGGCGGAGGGACGCTCCCGTCGGTGGTGGACCACGTGTGCGTCTCTGTTCATCTGTCGTTGGACCCTTGGGGTGTTTCCACTTCGGGGCCCCTGTGAATCCTGCTGCTGCGAACATTTGTCTATGTCTTTACGTGGGTGAATAATTTCATTTCTCTCAGATATACATGCAGAACTGGAATTGCTGGGTCACCATGGTAATTCTGCTTCATTTGTGAGGAACTGCTAACCTGTTTCCCGCAGCGGGGCCCCGTCTCACGTCCCACCCCACCCCCCAGCCGGGCAGGCGGATTTCGATTTCTCCACGTCTTTGCCAATGCTTGCTGTTGTCCTCTTTTTTTTTTTTTTAATTTTTAAAAAGATTTTATTTATTCATTTTACACAGAGAGAAAGAGAGCACAAGCAGGGGGAGTGGGAGAGGGAGAGGCAGACTTCCCCGCTGAGCAGGGAGCCGGATGCGGGGCTCGATCCCAGGACCCGAGATCGTGATCCGAGCGGAAGGTAGATGCTTCACCGACTGAGCCACCCAGGTGTCCCCCCAAAATTTCGAAGTTTTAAATAATAACAGGATCCAATCCTGCACTCACCACCCACTTCACCTGCTTCCCCCCTCCCCAGGCCTGTCCTCCCCAA